AAAAGGTTTCAAGAAATGACTAAAGGAACTGCATTTGTAAGTCATATTATTAATGAATTGCCCCTATTTTTTTTTTTTTTTTAAAAAAAAAAACAAAAGCCTTATCTATCTTATAGGGCTTAAGTTGTTGTCTTCGAGCAAAAATTGACATGTCAAACCCAAATAAAGCTTTACGTGATCCAGTAATTTATAGATGTAACATATTGCCTCATCATCGTACTGGGTATTCCATTTAATAAGCGCTTTTTTTCCTAATTAGTTATAACAATTATCGTGTTAGTTTAATCTCTCAATTATTTTCTTAATAGGAATAAATGGAAGGTTTATCCAACATATGACTTTGCATGTCCAGTCGTAGACGCAGTAGAAGGCGTAACACATGCGTTGAGAACTAATGAATATCGAGATAGAAATTCTCAATATGATTGGATCCTTAAAGCTTTGGATTTAAGAAAAGTTCATATTTGGGATTTCAGTAGAATGAATTTTGTTTATACATTGTTGTCAAAGCGTAAATTACAATGGTTTGTGAATCAAGGCATCGTTAGTGGATGGGATGATCCAAGATTCCCAACAGTTCGCGGTAAATTGCCATAAAAATTATCTTTTTGAATATGCTCAACAAACAAGACAAATTCTAATTATATTGATTTATTCTATTTTTAGGAATCGTACGTCGTGGAATGACAGTTGAAGCCTTGAATCAATATATATTGACTCAAGGAGCGTCACAGAATGATGTTTTATTGGAATGGGATAAATTATGGGCAATAAATAGAAAAGTTATAGATCCGGTTGCTCCCAGACACACTTCAATTATCAAACAGGATATGTATGTAATGGTATATAATGATTTGAAACCAAGGTTACCTTTTATCTGACTTATCATATTCGTGTACTTTCCTTGTCATATTAGAGTGAAGGCAAATATTTTGGGAGGACCCGAGAATGCTTATTCAAAAGAGGTGACCAAGCATAAAAAGAACCCAGATGTCGGAAATAAACAAACTTGGTTTTCCTCTAATATTTGGGTTGAACAAGAGGATGCAAAAACTTTTGAAATCGAAGAAGAGGTATAGTAGATAATATGAACGTAATACAAATCATGTATGCACATTAAATGAAATTTTAACTCCTAGATCACACTTATGGATTGGGGAAACGCAATTATTAAAGTCATTCATAAGTCTGATACAAATCCAAGTATTGTTACAGGTCTTGAATTGCAACTTCACTTGGAGGGAGATTTCAAAAAAACCAAAAAGAAAATTACATGGCTTGCCGATACTAAATCGATTTCTGAAGTTGTATTAATCGATTATGATTATCTAATAAATAAGAAGAAACTGGAGGAAGGCGACGAAGTTGAAAATTTTGTCACGGAGAAAACGGAATTTTTAACCGATGCCTTAGCCGATAGTAACGTTAAGGAGTTAAAGAAAGGTAAATAAATCCAAGTGTTATTAGGTATCCTAAAAAAGCAAGACCAAGGATAATAACAACTTTTATTGAAATAGGTGATATAATTCAGTTTGAGCGTCGTGGATATCATATATTGGATAATGACCCTTCTGAACCGGTTCTTCGCTTTATTCGTATTCCGGATGGCAAAGCTAGCAATATGGCATCTAAAGCCAGTGAGAAAGTGAATGATGATGGGAAGAAAGTATGCTAATTTATGATAAAATTTAATTATTTTAGCAAATTGTTTAAAAATTTTATTTTTACCGTGTAAATAATTAAAAAATTAAACATACAAAAGCAAAGTTTTTTTTTCGTTCGTGAAAATTTTATTTATATACGAGGTGAAATCAATTAACCATGAAAACATGACAATCTTGATCAGGTCATACTTACGAACATCATACATATTATATATGGAACCTTTGAATAGAAAAGGAAACGGTTGGGAAAAAAAAAAATGGGTTAATGCTTAATCTGAACATATTTTGACCTAAAAATCATATTTGGCATATAAAAATAAAATTGATTTTTCCGGCTGTTTTCCCTTTCTATTATTGCAAAAGTCCATATTATGACCAAAAGATTAAAATGAAAAATATAAGTCGTCGAAAAGCGCCAGCGAAATGTTGACGCAGAAAATCAGTGATACTGAATCAGAAGAAATTCATCGCTTTGACAATTTGTCTGAAAACCAATTTTATTCTTAACAATTAACGTGATATTATAGTCAAGAATTATGCGTCAAATATAATTATGCCTTGAATTTTTAAGATGCATTTATTTGTAGATTGTCATTTTAGTTTAGATTAAAGCCTTGTTCAAATAAATTTAATTTCTACTATTTCTCTTTTTCAACGTAACTATTTACACGCAATATTCAATTTTCAATTAACTGAAATGGGTTATAAATAATTGTAAAGTAAAATTATATCTTTATTGAAGCTTCAGCTGTTGTTACTGTTGTTGCTTCGTCTATCATTGTTGATATTGATGATGGTGATGGTGATGATGGTGAAGGGGAAGGAGAATGGGAAGGGGAAGATTTTAATGATTGTAAAGACCGTGATTGTAATGATTGTAAAGAAAGTAATCGTAATTAAAGTTGTTATTGATTTCCATGATGATGGTGATAGAATGGTCTTACGGGTAAGAAATTTTCAATGGATTTTCCGGAAACTGCCATTTCCATCAATTTATCACCAACGGAAGAGACTACGAGATCCGTTTTGTTACTGGTGGTAGTGTACTCACATAGTCCATATGCCATTATATAGTTGCTGCCCATACTTCATACTATAGAATCCCATTCCAAATCCCAAATCCCACACCCATATAGTATGGGTAACAAGTATAGCTACAGTCAAGTTATTGGTTATTTAAACCACTCAATCATTCTCGAATCTTCAGGAATAAAATCGCTTTCTCATTTATACCATGATGATCGTTAATCATAATTTTAGATGAAGAGTTTGAGGTTTCGATGCGTTCCGAAATTTCTTCATGGTCAAGATCTGTTATGTCTCCTCCGACCGTCACAGAAAGTTCCGGATTTCATTGTTTTCAAATAATATATACCCTTGAGTTGAAGTGTTTGTATTTTCACAAAATACAATTTGGTCATATTTAAATATGCTTTTTAGTGTTTCCCTACATAGATATTTCCCGTTGATTTAATAAATAATATAATCCTCAGACACTAATTTATGTAAAAATAACACTCTCATGAAGGAAGGGTGGTTGCACTCCCACGAAGGAAGGGTGATATTCTCCCGGACACGTTTCTTTGTTATAAAGGTAGGTACATAAGCGGTTCTTCCTCTAGTACCAGTAGTCCTTTTATCAAAGAAACCCACTTTCACAAGAAAGGGTGAGAAGTCGGTTGTGATTTCAGAGTTCCAGGATAAAAATGTAAAAAAAAAAAAAAAAAATATCAACGTGAAAGACTGAAAGTTACCTAAGGACGCGTTATAAGAGATAAAACATATACTTTTTTGATTGGTGGATCAGAGGAAAAAATTAAAATGGTATTTGTATCACATTACACGTGACAATTTAGTTTATTTTTTCATGTAATCCATATCTGAAACTTTTTTAACTTTTAGAAAATCAAACTTTTTAAAAATCCACTAAATTCATATTGATACGATACAATATAGATTTTCAATTTTCCAATATATTTTTTATTTATATCAATAAATATAAATAAAAACCAATTATATATTTTATATATACGGTATATATATATATATGTTTTATCAAAGAATTCAAGAAGGGTGATGACACGTTAATAAGAATACAATGAGATTTATAGAATATCAAATGCAAGAAAAAAGATTACTTGAAATAAAAAAAATCATCTACCAAAAAGAGTCGCAAATATTTAACATCATGAGAGTCGTACAGTAAACTTCCATTCATTCATTCAAAAAAAAAAAAATCATGCTTGTACAACACATTTTTTAATTCATAGTAAAGTCCTGTTTAATAATAATGAATGCGTTTTAGTACGATTATTGTGTTGAAAAGTACAAATAAATAAACAACTTTCCTTCATCAAAATCATATTGTTCTGATGGTTCAGATTTCAAAAAAAAAAAAAAAAAAAAAAAAAAAAAAAAAAATGAATGAATCATTATTACACTACACAATCATGGATGCAACTGTCGTTATTATGGTATCTTCCTTCACCAACGAATTGAAAGTTTCAATTCCATATAAGATTTCTACGGATAGATGTTCGATGAAATCATCGCTACAAAGTTTCAATGAAATTGATTCATTCGTTCACGGTGGCTTTATGCACATGGAAACGCGACGCAATTAGGTTATGCATAATACTTTGTCTTTTATCTTTAATTAATTTCACTTATCTTCTAGATACACTAAAAAATGGATTGTATATCATACATATAAAATAATTGTTCGATTTACTATATTACAAAAAAAGGTACCATAAATATCTATCAAAGATATTGATATGGAAAGTTATTACATGATAGATAATTACTTTTACATAAACTACTTACAAATAATAATATATTATTATGAAAAATATCTTACAAGTTTAAAAGGTGGTTTTTTTGTTTGTGATTGTTTGTGTTTGTGTTGATTGTGTTTGTGGATATAAAGAAGAGGTTTAAAGTACGCAAATAAATATACGAAAGAGAATAAAATTTAATTGCACTAAAACTTTCGAATAAAAAGTTCAGTACCGATAATGAAATCGATCACTTTTTCGAAATTGAATAATAAACCAATCAAGGCTCATTTGCTACGCCACGATTTTGCCTGATTCATAAACGGTTCACTCAAATATGATCATGAACCTTGGAAGGGTCGCCTATCAATAGGAGAAAGAAGGATTAATTGGACATTCACACTATGATACTATTAGAGATGAATGCGTGTGTACCTTATCTCGGTTAACCACGAGAATCCAGTTATGTTCTTCGGCCACAATGTCAATAACAAACATGACCTTGGTATAACTATTACTATCCGTATAATCACGAGATATTAAAGCGCTATGAGCGAACCACATTTCTACAAGAATGAAAAAAACGATTAGATTCATTTATTTTTTTTCTTTTTATTACCTATTTTACTCCATCATACTTACTTTTGCCATGCTTTGAAAATTTCTTTCGATTGCCATGTTGAATGATACCACACATACCGCAACCTTTTTTACAAAACACCTTGTTATCAAGAGAACAATAATTTGGATCCGCAAAACGTCTGGGATCACAATCGAATAACGTGGTGGTGCCGTGAAACATGCTGAATGTTATGTCATCAACGCTTTTATTCCCATGAAGTTTAGCGAATTTACTTTTATATTTCTCATGATCTTTAACTAATTTAGTTGGCATGTCCAACCTGATGATTGCTTTGATGATAGCACGAGGTATTTCAGAATAAAACATGTTTTTAACGGTAATATAATCCGGATCATATATTTTCAGTAAGGTCAGTTGAGATTTTACAAGAGGTAAGGTATTTTTATACGAATCGGATATGATTGATGATTTATTGCGCGTCGCACTGTATTGCGATGTACGAGTTGATGAACCCGGTAACCGAGAATGACACATTTCGCATACATTCAAGTTTGAATGATTTATCTCACATTCTATTTCCATGACATTACCACGTAAGGGACTTTCAGATGTTGGAGATGGGTAAAGTAAAGTGGTATTGTATTGCGAAAACAATGAAGTTGGGTATGGCAATGATGCTTCCCAATAAGAGTCCAACTCCTCGTTAATAACTGACAAGGCATTATTATTATTTTGATTATGATTATGAGGATAAATATTAGGATTGTAAGGTTCGTCGTGATTAACTTCATTCACGTGGGGAAAATCGGGAAGATCGCTTAAATCATTTTGGTTGGTTGGTTCGTAAAGGTAATCCTCAGATAAATCAGTTTCGTAAGGTTCGTCAGATTCGTCTAATTCATAAATTTCATTTAATTGATCAAAATCATTAAATATAAAATCAATGTCAAATGGTTCTTCAATAAATTCAGGTAAGGTACAGGTGGTAACTTCGGATCCACGCTTAAGAGATTGTTGAGCACTAACTCGGGATATGCGTGAATTTAATCTACTATTTAACCTTGATATGGCGAAGAATGAACTCCTTCTCGTCGTAGGTTTTGGTTGTTCAAGGGTTGGTAGTACCTTATCACCACCATCCGATGATGCATCATTAGTAATACTTTTGGTTATAGTCTCACTCCATATTAAATTTCGACTATTTCTTTTTGAACCGCCACCATTTATTCTTAATTCTACGGAAGTATTTTCTATTGAAAGGTGGGTTATTTGTGATTTCGCATTATTACAATCTGGTTGTTTAAGTTTGAGGGTGGCTTTTGAGGGGGCCACCAATTTTTTCGTCCATGATTTCAGTTTATTTAAGATGTGCCTTTGTGATTTCTTTTGAGACGAGCGATCCATCATAAATATTATATGTCTGTACAAGGAGAGGAGCGAGAGAGAAAAAAAAAAAAGTGTCAAAAGGGATCTCTTTTTTAAAAATGAGGGAAACGAAAGATTTTATGTAACCAAAAAATAAAAAATTTTTAGGAAATAAAAAAAAAAGTTACATAAACATACACACATATATAAATGAGGTTGCCAAGAAAAAAAAAAAAAAAAAGAAAAAAAAGAATCTTGACAAGAATAAAGGAATTAAACGTGTTTA